AAAATATTCCACAAAATTTGGACCTCACGAAATGTTCAAATGAGGGACACAGTCACTCGCATCCGATATCCGTCATATGGAAGGCACGACTACAGTCTTGTTCTCTACGGACGCTGCGGCGTGTTAGAGGGAGTGGGGCTGAGTTTGGTGCGAGCCTTCCCCACCAGTCGTGGAATTGCTGGAAAGCATACTGGCGTCTAGCCACCCTTATACCCCCAGCATCCGCAGAGGACGAGGGACTAAACCGCACGCATTGAACAGCTCATTCCCCGAAATACGTGAAGTAAAGAAGTTCAGAAGGAAGAAAGGAGTTCAACGTTAATGGTAATTTGAACACACCTGTATGATCATTTTGGCGCACTCGTTGCACGGCAACATCGTTGTGTACATCGTGCAACCTTCGATGTTATTCATACTCTTGTTGATAATGGCATTCACTTCAGCATGAACCACATATGCATACTTGTTCTCTTCAGGATTATCACTGTTTTTCCCCCAAGGCAAATCGTCATCACTTATTCCTACGGGGAAGCCTGAAGAAACATTTACATAGAGGGTACCGTTCATACTTTGCGACGCAGGATGGAGAACTGGCGAATCGACATGTCAGCAGAAAATGCGTCAAGAAGGAGTTTGGCTATCAATATGACGGTTTAGGAGAGTGAGCGTTCTCCCCAAACATCAAATGACCGGCGCGGATCACAACCCACCTACTCGTTTGGTGCGCATTCTCCTAGGGTGCCAATTCGCCCATTTCCCTATTACACTGCCGCAAAGCATAAAGGACTAAGCAAGGCAGTTCTAAGTAATTGCAACTCACCATTATATCCTGTTCCTATGACCTTGTTTTCTCGATTGACTATGGCACAACCGACCTGAAAATCTCCGAAAAATGTACGCACTTAGCATTTCACCTGTAAATTGAGCGGTTGTCATTAAATTGGGTAACATTACTTCTATTTGCACATGGATCCCCACAGTAAATTTGCAATGAGAAATTTTATCGTTCGAAAAGACGTACCTGCGTGGAAGGATCCTTACTTCTCATTGCAGCCAGCTTTGCAATCGCCATGAAATAGTTCTCCCATGATAAGTAATCCTTCCGTTTACCTGATCCTGTAATAATGCCACAGTGAGCACTAGTTCTACCTTTGCTCATGAAATCGCAAATGGGAAGTGTTCGCGAGGCAAACTAAGGACTGAAACGGCGACTGTGGGACAGAAACTGGGGCTGAGGATGCCAAGATATTCAGGATTGTTGCCGCTAAATAGAACGCAGTATGTAATACTGCACAGCCTTGTTCGCTGCGGATGTGGCCCCGTCAAGGGAAGATGGGTTTGACGCATGGGCCCGTTTCTTTTATTCTTTCGGCAAAAGATAAGTCTACCATAGCGTTCGTATAAGTCATTTTTTACCAACTGCTGTCGCTTATCCGCTTCGAGAACGGAGAACGGCGCTAACGAGTCCGGCAAATCTTGGTTCCTTGGAACGCTCCAGCGAGTCCGCCCAACGATAATACTACTATTTACAGTTTTTTATTCGAGCTTAAATTCCTATAAGGCTATCGTAAGCTAAGAATAACCGTTCAAGAATATCAGCCAGTCGAATTTGAAGACAAGGGAGCGTAATTCGCGCTGAATTTTAATCTTGGGGTAGGCGAATGGATTTCCTGTTAATATGCTCCAACAGAATTGTACGCGTTTGCCGCCGAGTTCACAGGCCGTTTCTTTTTTTTCGGCGCATTTGAAGGAGGGAAAGAAGGAATCAAGAGAGAAGGACAGGGGGATTGAAATTCTTGATCGTGCCTAAACGACTAATTTGGTCTTTAAGCCATGATATGTCCCGTCTACAACATAGGGAGAATTCTGCTTGAATGTGCAGAAGTCACGTGTGAGAAGACTCGAAAATTTTTTGATGATTCTGAGAACACCAAGAAAATGAAAAGCCAAAGAGACCGTGTTCCTCTCGGATTTCTACGTCCTTTACGCCGTCAATAATGGAGTTGTCGCCTTCAGTAAACGCTTGACTGGGGTGGTTTTTTGTCAAGCCGTTTGCCTCCATTGAGCAATCTAAATATGCATTTTTTCCGACCGTATAAGTTTACGAGGCCGTTACTTTTGAGCAATTTGTACAAAAACCACTTACAAAATGAAGCATGTCAATAACCGGAAGTAATTTAACAAACACGACTGGTGAAAACGAAAGTACGTTACCTCAAAAAGATTCATTTTTTGAAGCATTGCCCCCTTTTTAATTTGGGAGCAGAAAAATCCAACGGCAAGATCTTCGCGGCAACTATGTAGTTCGTTACAAGTTAAACCCCGCTATCCCTTCATCATTATTTGGTGGTAACCCCTTTATCACCAAATAAGAACATTCGGAGACTTAAAGACAGGCGTTGCTTTCACTATTTCTTGAATGTTGTCGCTGTGAACGTCGCCACAAATTGGGGCCAAAATAACAGCGAGATGCTTCAAATCCAATAGAGGTAGAATGGAGAAGCCGTGGAATGAAGTGTCACCTCCGTGACCCTCCCGCATTGCGTTTTATTCCACGACGAACTTTTACAGTGTTTGCTCAGTGCTGTACTGCACATTGCTGCTTTTTTGTTCCTATGCTATACCGGTGCTATGAATTGCGCATTTTTCCTCAATTATGCGAAGTCGCATTGTTTCTTTCCTAGCGCTAATCCAAAATGCCGGTCAATTTTGATCGGAAACTCATTATTTGGAACTCCTACAAACATCTTCTTTACATAGGTGCTTAGGAAAAAGACAACAACGCAGTTGGGGTGGGTGGAAATGGGAACCAGTAGAAAAACAAGCTGCTGAAATGGGGTGAAAACAAGTTTTGAGCTTCCGTCTTTTTAAAACCTTTGTGCAGAATTGGAATTACCGTAATCAAACGAACTAATGCACCGAAATGTATGGACCTCTTGGACTGGCGTTTTCTTCCTCACCTTATTTGTTTGTTGCTATTTTTCTTTTCATTTTTTCACCTTGAAATTCCAGAGCTATCCAGCTGATCAAGAAAGCCCGACGCCCTTCATGGCCGTTTCCGAACCAAAGGCCAAACGGCCATGTCCAGTTCATACAAAGGTTTTCTTCACTTCTGCTTGGATTCATGTTTGGCATGCTAGGCATTTACAGAACATGCAGCCAGTCGGCTTTTTATAGGGGTTTCTTGACGATGAGGATGAGGACCGCCTTGCTAAGAAGCTATTTGGCGACAGTCACGAAAGAGTGGAAGAATCGTCTTCTGATGACGAGGAGGAAACGGCTGTCGAAAATACGGTTTGGTTGAATTCTTTTGTTTTCCACAGCAGTTTTTTCTTTCATGATAGCACGTGCATCAGTATAGTGTCGTTCGTTGCGGATGCTCAAGCGTGTGAGGGGCTAATGCCGTTTGGAGGCACACAATTTTGGTAGGAGCTCATTTCTAAATTGCCAGGAATCACTAAATCCGCTGAAAACCTGTTTATGTGGGTAATTTAGCATCCTGATTACGAATATGACACTCATTCTTGCTGCTGGCGCCAAGCGAGGACACTACGATTACCTCCTGGGCTCAGCCTTAGCAGAGCGCAGATAATCGCAGTGTCATCTTAAAAAATTACCTCTATATACAATTCTTTAGCGGATTTGGTAATTTAGGCACTTAAAAATGAAAATTAAAAATGCTAAAACTGCGTGCGTCCAAACGGCATTAGCCGTGTCACGGAGACTGGGTTTGGCGCGGCGCCAGCAAGTCCTTCACCAATTGCTGAAGCCGGCAAGTGATGCCGATTAGTGGATAATGGGCTGACGCCACAATACCAGCTCTCCTGCACGCCCCAGCATTCCCAGCGAAATATACGTTTCATATAGTTGCCTGCGTGGTATTCCAAGTGCTAAGCCCTTCAAGAATCCTTGTCTTGTTGACTAAAGGTAGCAAAATTTCCTATTTTTTTGGTTACTACTGGAATATTTGTACATACATGCTCGTACTTGTACTGTTAAGCAGGGAGCAGGGCAGCTTCACTGATCCAGCGATATGTCTCCCATCCTCGCTCTATATAGGATCTTTATGGCTAACATAGTTCGACTTGGAAGGGGCGTTGGCACTTTCTCTAGTTTCTTCTGCTAATTCCTGTTAATTTACAGGTAATATTTTGATGGGACCAGTAAACTCTTGTTAAGCTACGAAATGGTACAGGTGACTCACTGTAATCACAGGGGACCTGAAGTGCCTCCGTGAGGTACCACTTGTTCCCCCCCCCAACGAACTGCGCCCAAGTTTATTGGAAAAGTTGCTTATTCGAGTTTTTGAAATGTATGTCTTCAGGAAACTCACGCGAGTTCAACATCAGTCTGGCACGACGATGACGATGCTGATGAGGAGGTACAAATTCCTAGTGGAAAAACAGCAGTGTATCTCAAGCGCAGTGACGACAGTGGTGGATGTGTCGCAGCAGATGTAGGTGTCATTTTTGTTCATATTAATTATATGGTTTTGGTCTAACTAAGATCGTCTTCAGGAGTACCAGAACCGTCTCCGGAAAGCTTTTCAACGTCAACAGCACGCCACGTTGAAGTGGGCAAAGTTAGAGCCAAGTACTGTTGCAGTCCTTTTTTTTCATTAAATTAGGATAAGCCTTGTAAAGCTCAAAAACAAAGATTCAATGTAAATTTTTGAATATTTCAGAAAAGACGGCAGTACAAAGTAAGGGCGATGACTCGGATACTGAAGTTGAAGCAGTACTCGATGAGATGACACAGTCTTCTGTCCGATATGTGGACAAGGACCCCTTTCTAGTCAAAGACATAGTGTCTACATTCCGCTGGCCGGATATCACCGTTGGATATCATGATTCGGTAAGCTTTCTCTATTAAAGTGTACGCTTTCATTGTCCCATAGTCATTTACACCATTATTACCAGCGCTCAACTCGGCGCCGGACTCAGACTGTGTTTTGATTTCACAGACGTGAAGACCCATGGTGGTTATATATGGAGTGAGAGTCGGAAAAGTCCATGTGTGTTGCAGAGTAAGGTCACATGTATTCGCAATACCCGATTATCGCGTTATATTAGTAGCTCATTTTTCTCAGGTTGGCGATAGGTCAGAAGCAGGAAATTTCCTCCAAAATGCGAGATTTGCTAATTTCCCAATCACAAGTATGAGTTTACTGCAAGGAGGATGTTCATTAGTGTGTGGATCAACGCGACAGGTACGATACGTTACTCTGCGATAGTGGTCAGTGCTTAGCCAATGGTTGTAACCTCTGGTTCTATTCTGAAAGCCGCTCGAGAATTTTTGACTGGGTTTATTCGGACTCGCGAGTAGATTTGCTTCATCAGTCACCTACTTTCCTTCGCTCCTCGCGCGATGATTCAACTATCGTCTAGGTAATTCAGGCCATAGATAACCTTGGAGGGGAGAGGAGGCACACCTGTAGAGTTTTTCTTCAGCATTCCTGTAAACTGTAGAACCGAGTGAATCTATAAATCAAGCTTGTCAAGGCCCTCTAAGTGTGTATCACCTGTCCAGTCACCATTGAATCACCTGTCAAGGACCATGTGAACTCCTGTCAGAGTTTTCAAAATGACTTTTCGGGATTTGCGAAAAAATGGAGAAATTTTGGGGTTCCTATGACTCTGGTAAGCTTGACAGAGTTTACAGTGTATCTGAGTGTAATTTACAGAACATACACGGTGAGATACGTTCACGAAAAGACAAAAAACCAACCCAAATACCCACATTGAAGAAGCTTACAGGTGCGGCTCACCGCAAGGTTGTCAGCGCCTAATTTCACTCATTGAAACATTCCTATTATATGAGTAGTACATTTTGACTCATAGTGTGACTAGATTTCTCCATTCTCGTAAGAGAGCAATTTCAGGAGTATCTAATGAAGTATGATCTCGAACAAGGAGCTGTAATGCAGCTTAGGCTACCAAAATGTGAGATTCTTACTCCTTCAGAGACTGTTTCAGAAGGTTGAGGCAACTTTACATAAACATGCTTCTGCTTTAAGGTGTTCCTCATCAGAATGTCGGTCGTTTTGCTACCTCCAAAGACGGATCTCTATTAGCGATGATAGCTCGTAATGCACAGGTCTATGTGCTGTCTTCGTCGGTGAGTTTATCGAAGGCTCTTCCACTTCGGTTATCTAGTAATTAGCCTCAACGTTTTCTTCAGTCTATGGAATTGGTTAAAACTTTATCGGCACCTACGGACGTGACATCGGTACAATTCCTTCCTGGATCCAATCGTGAAATATGGGCTATGACAGGTAAAGACTCACTCTTTGGTCTACAGTCGAGGCGCACTACGCACGCCGCGTCTCCAAAAAGTAGTTACTTGTGTGGCTCAGTATACCTAATGACATGATTCGGAGAGCCGTGGTTCCGTCGCGAGCGTGCGGCACTTTCCTCGGCGTATTTTTGCTGCGAGAGTAGTGCATCCTGCGAGCTTGCATACAGGGTTACCATGCCCAAAGAAAGCGCCTAAACATCAGATGAGCGCGCCATGTCTTTAATGAATGTGAGATAATCGCTAATGCTGAGGTGGTGTAAGACGAGCGCGCCGCTTACCTGGGAAGTCCGCCAACTTACCATGGAACTTTGAATGGAGACCTGGGTAGATCGATAGAGTCTATAAGGTTATTTACAAATATAGATAGCAAAACTGCAACCTGCATTTCACAAGCAACTTATGAGCAGGTAAAGTTTGTAATGGTGCAGTAGGGTGGAGGCTTGGTGGTGAGCTGTGAAGCATAAGCGAGGAATCGCATACGCGAATCGAGTCATGGTGATTCAGTGGTAAGATTGGGTTGGACTTCCCTGGTTAGGTGCAAAGTCTGGAACGAAGTGGGAGACAGATCCTATCCAGTCACATTTCCTCTGTTCAGAACGCGGCGAGGTCATTATTTGGAACCTGAATGGATCTCAACATCTGTTCCGAGACGAGGGTGCAGTACGTGGCACGAAGATTCGGTTAAGTGGTGACGGAAATAAGGTAGCCTGTGGGTAAGTTACTTAAGAAGTTAATTTCAGAGGACCATTTCTCTCCAGTAGGTGTAAGTTTACTTCAGGTCGAGTACTGGTATTGTGAATGTATACGACGCAGCTGATGTCCGAAATAGTACTGACTATTTGCGTAATCCGTGCATTGCTTTGATTCATTGCTTTCAATCATGATGCCGCCATGTGGCGTCTTTCTAGTTAGCAATGTAGGCTGGTGGTGGGTGTTGTGATGAATGGGGTTGTGGTGGTTGTCTTGTTGTGTGTGATGGTTTATTTATGGATATTTATGGAAGTGGCTCTTGTGTCTGTGTCGTCTAATTTTTCAATTTCATGAAAAGATTCAAGGTGTGATAACTTCTTTTCATGTCGGTTAGCGGGGTATCTGGTTGTGTTCATATAACTTCGCCGAGAAAAGACACGCATAAAGGTGCCGGTTTTTTATTGTTATTTTCGTACCCGCACAAGCGTTCTCAGGTGTTTAGGTTCTTCTTTATTACTTTTTTTTGTAAGGCGTTGTTGGGTCATAATGTTTTTTTTTATGAATAGTTCACGATGATCAAATTTGGGCTGAGAGCTCGACTACCACTGTGTTTTCCTAATTTCAGTCGCGTTTTTCTTCGCGCTAAGCCCAGTGGGAAGCCCCGCCTCAAGTGGGCTTTGGTTATGAAGAATAGGGTGCTTATAGAAGTGGGGTGGTTAGGGTTTCTCGAGCATCGTTATACTTATCGCTGCCTTTTGTCTTTATAAGATTCCCGATTGTTGTTTTTTTGCGGGGGGTGAAATTTGCACTGGTGGTCCAGCTGTGCGTTTTGCGTTATCGCTGGTCTTTCCTGCTGTCCTTTGTTACAACCCATTTAAATCTTATATTTTGCATTTCTCCTATCTGCTTCGCCTTCTCTAATAGATGTGCACAATGTGGAATGTGTTGGAATTTTCACCGGATGAGTGTGGTTATGCTGGCGCAGTGCGAGCGGAAATGGTCATTATTAGTTCTGGAACGAGATGAATCATGGTCGAAGGGGCTATTAACGATGAGGCCGATAGTCGGATACTGTTACACTGCTATACTTGTTGCGAGTTTGTTGTGTATATGGGTAATGTGTTTGCTTGTTGTTTTTATTAGAGAGTTAGGGCAACGGTTTGGTAGACTTCGGTGATAGATGGCGCGTCGTATTGCGGCTAAAGTTTTGTGTGGTGGCGGGAGAGAGTCTCTTGCAGTCCGATAGACGCAATGCAGGCCGCAAAAGGGGTGGAGATCGGATCGGCACCGTTCCTTTGGGAGCATGTGGCAGTACTACGCTGTTAACTGTGAAGCGCGTCGTCCGCGGTCGAGTTCGTGAAGTCCTGAACGTGCTCTTGTTGGCGTTGTTTCTCGAGCCTCAACGTTTAACTTCGAGATCAATTGCTTTTGCAACAAGCTTCGGTTTCGTGGAAACTGTCGGGCCTGGCGAGTAGCACATTGTTTGGTTTTGCGCTGGTTCGATTTCTTTTCCGTCTTGATTAGATGATTATAAATGTATCATTGATTACCAGGTAATGGAAGTTTTTGCACATTTTGCTGGTGTCATCTTCTGCCATCTCTGCCTAAGGTTTCCTTTGCGCTGTTCAGGTTAATGGTTTACTCACAATCCTTGCGTGAGCTTTAAAGTCCTGTGAAGCTGACGAACATGGTATACCAAACTAAACCACTTCGGAGACACGACTTCACAGACTTTTGCACAAGGGATTGATCTGTACAAGCTGTTGGTGGGGTGTTTCATTTGCGGCTGTGCCCACCAAGCTGTAGACCGATTATGTAACCACTCAACTTCTCTTAAGTCGTTCTTTGTTTTGGTCTGTACAGCGTTCTTGCGACGTATCAGAGAGAGAGGCATGAGAGGAGGGGGAGTGTTGGACAACATGAACTTTAAGTCCTTTCAGCTGCGGTCGGCCTTTTCTGTTTCTTCTTGCGGTAGTCCATTGCTTCGGCCCTTGACAAGACGAAGTCATATCTGGCTGCGGCAGAAAAAATTTACCTGATGTCTCGTTCAATGTTATTGATGATAACTGTTATTCACGCCGCAGTGCGCGATTCGAAAGTCATCACAAGAGTGCTGAGTTGTGAGCAAAAAACGGACCACGAACGGGATTCGAACCCGCATCTTCCGCTACCGGAAAACAGGGCGGTTACGTTTTCTATTATCGCTTACAGGGCCACTTGCCCCTCTCAGTTCAATGCGTTATTTTGCCCATTTGCCTTCCGAGCGCCACATCACACGTTCAACAGGCGTGACATGAGACCGTCGTTAGCGCATATCGGCAGACCGCAACGACAGAAGCTTTTCAAGTTTCAAGCTGCCTTATTTTCAAAGTAGACCCACAGCGGCAAGACTCTCTCTCCACTTCTCGTTTCTCTCTCTTTCTGATCTCTCTCTCTCTGCTCTCTCTCTTCTCTCGCATTTAAAAGACTTCACTATCACGAAGACGCTGGCCCTCAAAAGCCAGTTCAACTCTTATTGCACCGCATGAGAAGAAACCAGTGGAGGCAGAGGTTGGGTCAGAGCACGTCCTGCCGTTGGCAGAGCTTTTGCCAAAATACGAATGTCTCAAGAGTTTCTATTTCTGGCATACGATCCCTTTCCTGCTAACGACCGCAAATAACGGCCAATCGGGTCGTGTCAGTTCCGCTTAACCTAAGAACCGTGCCTAGTTATGATGAGAGGGGCGAGATGAGAACAAAACTCTGGCCTATCGTGTCTCCCAAGCCAATGACTGGACTTTTTTTCCCGTGTGAGGCCTAGTTGTCATGCGTCATTCAATCCCCGATCTCCTGAAAGGACCTCATGCCTGTCGCGGTACTGTGCAACAACCGACCACTTGGTTGTCTTTACCCAGTTTTGCTCTTCATTCTGAAACCATTTCTTTCTCGCTACCCGTCTATACCATCTAAATTCGTAACCTGGTGTTTAGCCGTGTTTGCGTTTGTCAATTGCTTATTAACCACCATGAAATCAACGACGGCCATGGTTATGCCTCTAGTTCCATAAAGCCCACATAGTAACAAACTTCTGCACCTCCTACTTGCCCTTTACCGTGTGACCAACCTTCCTGTAACCAAGTTTCCTCCAGGAATCCTCGCCGAGGGGTATATTTAGAGCCAGGAAAGGGAGAATTCTTATGCTTTCCCGCTTGAAGCGTTTCACTCATGCTATCCCTTTTAGCCTAGTGTAGAACACTCTACTGCAGTCCGACCCTCTTCCATGAGGTTAGATACAACCTCGGTCAGGAGCTTCCGCTCGAAGCCTCACTGTAAAACGCTGCGAGGCAGAGCGGAACTGCTCATAGAACCCTCATAACCGCCCCTTATGAAAGCTTACAGATAAGGTCGTCCAGCCGACGGGAAAAATTCTCGAGAAGACGAACCCTTGCCCTTACCCGATTTTTTTTGCTCTTGTACGAACCCCCTCCCTCATAGGGACCCTTCTCCCAACGATGTAGATAACGAATAGAAAAAAGAGGAAAAGTCAACTAACAAAGAAAATTTCAGGGCAAATAACTCCTTCCATCCCTACTCCCGCCCTGCTCCCTTCGCCGACCGAATACGAGCGCCTCCGCTAGGCTAACGCCGTTTGGACTCCAGAAATTTCGTCCGAGCTCATTTTAAAAGTGGCAAGATCACCAAATCCGCTAAAAACTTGTATATAGGGGTAATTCAACATCCTGATCACGAATATGACATTCATTCTTGGCGCTGGCGCTAATGGATGACACTACGATTATCTGCGCTCTGCTAAGGCTGAGCCCAGGAGGTAATCGTAGTGTCCTCTCTTGGCGCCAGCGCCAAGAATGAGTGTCATACTCGTAATCAGGATGTTGAATTACCCCTATATACAAGTTACTTTTAAAATGAGCTCGGAACCGAAATTTCTGGAGTCCAAACGGCAGTAGCCCCTCCGCTAGGGGCTCCCGAACAAGCGACGTGCCCGGCTTTGAGGAGCTAAGTTCGCGAGTGTTTTTTGTCCTTCCATACACGCCTCGTACCAATTAATCAGTCGCCATGGCCGAGAGAGCTCGGTTGGCTTGATGGATTCTGGTCTGCGGAAAGGCGACCATTCTTTCGCAGTAGTGACACACTCATACTGGCTGACACGCCTTACCGGTCGCCAGCCGACATTAGAGTGTGGATATGGCGATGTGATGAGTTCCTTATTCTGTTTCGTTCGTTCTTGGGGCATGAAGCATCAGTTTCATATCACTAAGGTTTTCCTCTAAAGCGGTTCATTTTGATTCCGGATTAAAACCCCAAGTTTAACTGTGGTTGAGCGAACTAGTTTAACGTGAATTTGTGGTAGTGGAACTCAGTCTTCTTATTGACGTTCATTCGTTCTTACCAGTATCTGGGTGCTACAGGTTTTGCTAGTTCCCAACGAATCTGGTGCCATCCATCTGCCCTTAGGAGGGCAGCTGACTGGCATTAGATATGTTGGGAAGTGTAATGGAAATTACCCAAACAACAACTGCCCCTCACGCCATGGGATTTCTGTACTAGATTGCCTGCAACCAGGGCATATCGTACGTTGGGGAACCCCACAGGGAGGAGGTCAAAGTTGGCCTAAGGAAAATTTTTGATGGTTGATTTTCTCCTGTTTCACCGCGGGGAGGGTTGTATTGGCCTTTTGCTTTGAGAGGAGAAGTAAAGCTTCTATCCGCAGAAAAAAAGGAAAACATTTTGTCGGTTCACGTTTCACAGCTTTCCATTTTACATGTGTTATACTAGCGAAGCGAAGCCTCACTGTGCCCGTCTCATTGTCGCCCTCTCTTTCAACAGTATTGGAAAAAGAGCGCACCAATGAGGAACGGTTGGATGTCTCCGCCCATAAGAACAGCGTGGAAAGTGCCCTCAATGAGTTTCTCTGCCATTATTTATATTTTTATTGAATTTTTGGAGTTCCACTTAATCATTTTCAAAATTCTTCACAAGTTTTCACGGAACTGGTAGGCGTGCGAGTAGATATGATGAGGTAAGTCGGTATCGTTAGCCCGTCATCTGGCGGACTGCAAAACTTCAACACGTGCAAAAATAAGAGTGTCCAAACTAATCCTCCTGTGTGACTTCTTCGAGAAATTTTTAGCCGAAGCAGCAGTCAACCTTAGAAGTACTTGATCCTACTTATCGAGAAATGAAAACCACTGTT